CAAGTAGCCTGCAGTTGAATATTTGTAAGTATTCAAACTTGTAGGTGCACACTTGGTTTATCAGTGCGGTGTGACGTTGCTTGTTGGAGGTGGCACGGGGGAGGAGAAACGGGAGTGTGAGAGGCAGAGACAGAGTGACAGAGACATAGGCAGAGCAGAGAGGGACAGAGACGGCAATCGCTGCTTAACAATACGGGAATACGTATGCCCGTGTACGCATACCTCCCACAGCGACAACACGGGACACCGCTGGGACCTCGCCAGGGCAACGAGCGGGCTGCGGTAATGCGCTCGCCACCTGCGGCCCAACGCCCCGCCCCGCCAGGCCTCGACGCCGAATGCAGCCTGGAAGCGGCAAGGACATCGGGATGCGAGGTATATATGAGGGGCTGGCTGTTGTGATATTGCTTGTGAATATTGAGAATCTGTTGTGTCTGCCTCGCACCAGCCGCCGCGCAAGGCAAGTGCAGCCCAAGGCCCAAGGGGAGAGTGGGAGGGGGGCGAGGGCAACTATCGTTTATTTCAGTGTACGCTTCGCGTGTATTTTGTATCTTTTCCCTGCATTTTTCTGATATTTCTGACGTGTATTTGGCTGTGTTTCTATGTAGACTACAGTACTCTTTTTTTTAAATTGTTGTTTGTATTTTTGTGCACCCGATTTGTTTGAGTAGGTTCCCCTAATGTGCAGTTTGACTAACCAATGAGAGAAAAAAATAATAATTCTGAAATCTCCTTGTTACGCACACAAAGAAAATACCAACCACGCATATAAAAATCCCAGAGAACGAAGAGTTTTGAACTCGGATTTGATGATGAACTGGGCGCGGGGCGGGGTCCCCGGAGGCCGAGGTCCTTCCCTGACGAGGTGGGCCTGTGGGCCTGACTTCCCCCCTCTCTCCCCTCCCTCTCACCCTCCTCCCATAACTGCGACTGCGGCCGCCAGGACGGGGTGACACAGCGTCGTGCCGGCCAAACCTTCCGCGAACGGGAATGCATCACATAAATTTCAAGATCATAAATTGAGAAAAATGAGTGAATTGGTAGCACTGCTGCCCCCGTCCCGCCCCGCTCTCCCGCAGGCACGCTTGCTGTGGCGCGGACAAAGGCCGGACCCTCGTGATATAGGCCCAGGCCCCGCGCTTTTGCGTTTATGGGACTCAATCTTTCGGAGATACGTACCTTCTTTTGGCTGTTTCGGCCACCTGTGCGCGGTTTGGACCATCTTACAGTACGGATCCTTTTGGGCTGCCTGTTGGAGTGCCTCGGTCGCCGTTGGTACCTAGGCAGGCTCCTAGGCTGTCGCGGCCGGCAGCACCCATTCCTCCTCCTTGGCAGTATAGGGCCCGTACGGCCGTGCGGGTACCTCGGTAGGCGACTGCTGCTACTGGTTTCTCTGATGTTCGCCGCGCTCTTGCCCGGCCGCTGCCCGGCCCCGGGTCGACGCGCGCGTTCAGCCGCCCGGTCTACACTCTCAACAACTTGGCTCGTTTTACCCGTTGATACCTTTTTCCGGTAGTCATTCGACTGTGAATGTGTGTGATTAATGGGCATGCAGGCAGGACCTGAGTCAGCTCGTGCCGCGGCGTGGCCAATGCTGCTCTCTCTCTCTCTCTCTCTCTCTCTCTCTCTCTCTCTCTCTCTCTCTCTCTCTCTCTCCCCCTCCCTATCAGTGCTGGCTACGCCGCTGGCAGCCGGGGCCTCCAACCACAAAGCACTTCATTACAGGCTCAGGTTTCACGCCGCCACGCTGCGCCGGAGCCCGGAGCCCCCCTGCGACACCCTGAGGACGTCCCGCGCGGGGCCCGCTGCTCCCGGCGCTCTGTCCTCCGGTGGGCGACCTTACTGGTGGCAGAGGTGGTGCCAGGACCTCCTCATAGGGCCGTCTATGCCGCTCCCGGCGATGTTCTCCGGTGGGCCACCTTAGGGATCGTCCAGAAAGTACGTCCGTCATTCGCCACAAACCCGCAAAGTCCATCCCGAGCAAGCTCTCACAGCGCCTGGCAGGTAGGCAACATCTTGCCTGCAGTGCATGCGTGTACTGCATGGTGGCCTACCTTGAGTCTCGCAGGCGCCAAGCTCCCGTAATGTTCCCAATGAGCCTGACGTGAGGTAAACGGACGTACTTTCTGGACGATCCCTTACCGGTGTTGGAAGTGGAACCAGGACGTACTCCTCATCGGGTCGTCTGCCCTCCCCGTCAATGTCCTCAGTGAGCAACCTCTGCTGCTTGCAAGTACTACTGGCCATATCCTCGGCTCGCTCGGCGGACACCTTTACATCGTGTTACATCGTCCCCACCGGCCCTGCGTCCTGCTGCGATCGAGATGCCATATCGCCCCGATGACAACTTCCTTTGCATACCCGCCCAGCTCGCGGTCCGGCGGCAGCACGGCGGCGTCTCGTAAGTGGAAGAGGCGCCGCAGGAGGCGAGGACGGCGAGCACGGCGGCGTCGAGTAGGTGGAAGAGGCGCCGCAGGAGGCGAGGACAGCGAGCACGGCGGCGTCCAGTAGGTGGTTCGCCCACCCCGGGTGGGACGGACAACATGATGGAAACTTGTTTTTATTCTTAGTATTATTTCCCTCTCATATCCAGGAGGGGTGAACAGCGCCACAGCGGGCGTCAGAGATTAGAGAGAGGGCCCTGCTGACCGAGGAGGACGCAAACTAATGGTCGTGTTGGGTTAAAGTGACGGGTGCGGGCCGGCGGCAGGGCTACCGAACGGCAGCGGCGAAGCAATCTCAGTGGCACCAACATCACACACGCGTGCCTGCACACGTCATGGGCCGGGCTGAGCAAGGGAGAGAGAAAGGAAAAGGGGGG